CCCCTCCACCTGCCCATGTGCTCTATACATTTGGGGCAGCACTAGTACTTCGTTGGTAAGAAATGCTAAGGAAGCTTCTAGCAGCCGCCAGCCCCCCACAGCTTCCGTCCTGGGGAACAATCTCTGCAGGTTTGCCTGTCCCGGGCCTCAGCACCCAGCAACATTGCCCACCGGCCTGATGGGCCCCTGCATGGCCTGCTGGGTAGACAGCAGACGTGAAAACCACTCAGTGTCTCCCTAGATGGAGATATCACCCCTCTCACCACCAGCCGGTCTGTGCACAGAGACTAGGCAAGAACATTGTTGCTACCTGAATGTGACAGCCCTGCCACACAGGTCTGCATCTTGGAAGCAGAGTTTCAAGGCAGTGCTAAAATGAGCCCAGCTGGCTACTTGTTTATTTACTAATTTTTGTACAGGTAGCTTGGTTTTTGTTACTGTTTCTTATAGTAAATATGATAGCAGATCTCACCTAGAGATAGGCCTGCCTTTATCCTCACATGGTGCCCCTAACTAGAGGCCTTAGTCGGAGGCTTGGCTACACAGGGGGCAAGTGCGTGGGGGAACTTTCTGAGCACTCACTCAGCATCACTGAAGTGGGAAGCCTTGCTCTGAGCCAAGCCTTGTCCTACTATCTTGCTCCCAGTATAAAACATCAGCCAGAGCTCCAGTCTTTTGTCCCAGGAGGCAGCATTCACGAGTAAGGCCACTTGTCCCCAAGCATCCCACTGATGTTTGCAGCCGCTCTGAGCAAGGCAAGGAGGTCCTGTAGGTGATGCCTCAAAAAGTTTTAGGTTCATTGAGGACCGTGGCAGGGGTTAGTGTCTCTTGCCCAAATCAGAAGCAGCTGCTGCCAGGTGTGTAAGAAACTCCCAGATGTGCACTTAGGAGGTATAATCATGTACATTTTGTTTAGAAAATTATGATCATAGCCAGACGTTATGGTGAGTACCTGTAGTCCCAGCTACTTGGGAAGCTGAGGCAAGAGAATCACTTAAGCCCAACAGTTTGAGGTTGCTGTGAGCTGTGATGCCATAGCACTCTACCAAGGGCAACACAGCAAAACACTGTCTCAAAAAAAAGAAAAGAAAAGAAAAAGAAAAAGGAAAATTATGATCAAATGCAGATTGGCACCAAGAGACCAGTCTTCTTCCATTTTCCATCCTAAAATCATGAGACAAGGTGGTGGGAATGGAGGCAGGGTGTGGGCTGAGCACCAAGAGGACAGACTGCTGGGCACAGTCGGGCTGTGTGGCTGAGGGAGGGGCTTGGACTTGATTCAAAAATAGGCTGCCCAGCACCATGGCATGCCTGGGACAGCCAAGGGCCAGGCCTGTCACCCAAGCTGTGCTTTTTAATGGTATCTTTTTCATGCTCCAGAAAGTCTAAGTCTGGAGGGTAAGTTCTGTGATCATCCTCTTCCACAGAAGAGAGGCAGTCAGGCTGGAAATGAATCCAGAGAGTGGCACGTAGGATGTGGAGCCCTGAGAAGGTTCACTGGCAGTGCCTACCGGGGAGACACAGGTGGGAGAGGGCCAGGCTGGCTCCTTCTCGAGAATATCTAGAACTGCAGGGCTGTTGGCAATGTTCACCAACACATTTGCTGAGTATTGATGGTGGCATGGTCTGTGGGGACTTCTAATGTACCTTCTCTTCTATCAGAAAAGGACACTAGGCTTAAAGAGATAAAAGTGACCTGCCCAAGGCAACACACTGGTTCCTGGCAGAGTGGGGACTGGAACTTGCTCTGCAAGGATCAAACCCAGGTGCTCTCTTCTGGGGCAGAGGGAGAGGCTGGCTCTAGAAGAGGTTTCAGGGGATGAATAGATGAATACTCCCCCTGGGGCCGGGAGGCCCCATCGGCCTCCCTCTGGTTCTCTTGCGGGGGTGGGGAGGACAGAGACTACTAAGGTTTAAACTTGCTGCTTGGACCTGAGGATGGAGCTTAGGTGGCACCTGGAATCCCCAGGGCCTGTGAGTGGAGACAAGGGTAAATGGTTTCTCAGGGCAGTGGCCTTGAGGGGCCAAAGAGATTATCTGGCAGATAGAACTAAGACACAAGTAAGGATGGAGTTCAAAAGTGGATGGGGCCACATATATAATTTATGGAATTTCGATGTGTTCTGGAGTTCAAATAGTAGTGAAATCTCACTACAAGACAACTCCTAATAACAGCTGTCTTGGCCCTGGTACCTCTCCCCTAGCCCTTTCCAGGCCTGCGGTAGTGGGTGGGCAAACCTTAAGTCAGTAACAGCCTTAACCTCTGCTTGGTAGGTGAGCAAATTAAGTCACAGAGTAGCCAGCCCTCCCCTGCCTTACAGCACCCTCAGTGAGAGGGCGTGATTATCAAGGCGGCCGCAACAGTACTTCTTGTGGTTCCATCGCCATCTCACCTCCTATGTGGGCTCTGGTGGGGTGCAGGGGTGGGGTGGTAGATTTTCCTAAGAACTCAGACACCTGAGGAGATGCCCCAGGAAGAAGCCCAACCCAAGACTCCAGGGACACTGCTTTTCTGGTCCTGGCTCTGTTTCCTGCTAACCAGCTATGCGATAGTGGCTAGTCACTTTCCTTCCTTGCTCTCAGGTTCTTCCCGGTCATCCGATGAAGGCTCTGGTCTCTACCATCTGGAAAATTTCACTGTTTCTGTCTCTCCAGAGGTGTCTGATGTTGGCTCAACCGTCTACCCAGCTGCGTGTTCATCTCTTTCATCTCTTCAGTGTACAGGGGGACCTCACAGATTAGAACAAAATATTTGTCTCCAGGTCTCAATTATCCTTGGCCATGGAGGGATGCAGCGATATGCATATGCAAAATATAAGTTTAAAAATATCATATTTGCTCCAGATCTGTATTTTTGGCCTCCAACCAGTTTTCATGAGGTTGAGTTTACTGCAGAGAGTCTGCAGAGCAAATAGCTCCCTAGAGCAAACATACGATCCAGTGCAGTCAAAATGCTCGACGGTTACCCTGAATAAGTTCTCGCACATGACATCTACAAAAACTCTGCACACCACTGTCACACCCACGTGGCATCCTCCAATAGGAAACATTAAACAAACCTCAGCCTCCTGAAAAAGATTATGAAATAGTTTCAGTATATGTGAACTGAGCACATATTTTTATTCAGTGAAACTTCTTTGATGGTGCCTGTTCAAATATCTGCAAATATTGAGAAAATACCCACAGACATTGTCCCTGATTGCTGTGGCCACGAGGTCTATAGAAACCAGAAGAGAAGACAGAAAATACTGAATGTCACTGAAGATTCTGCAGATTCCAGGAAACTTCAGGCCATCTTCACCTTCCTCTCCTAACCCTAAACTGTGGGTATCTAACCAAGTATGCGAGATAACCCAGCCAGGACAGTGGGAAGGTCGGGGAGGAGGTGTCACCGTGGGAGGCAGAGGGGGCTTTGGAGAAAGCCTCTTTCCATCCTCTCACTGTAGACCTCAAGATATTCAGGGGGAGGCCTGAGGAAGCTGGAAGCAGCCTGGAGCTGGGGCCATCTGGAGCTGGGCTCTATGCCTGCCCTCTCTACCCCCACTCTGCCTCTGAGATGCCCATGTAACCTCCAGGCAGGGCTCACCAGTAGCACCAGGTGGGGCCCAGAAGTTTCACCTCCTGAAAATAGAGGAGGGAGGGAATAGTAGGTGAAGAACAAGAGAGAAGCAGAGGGGAGTAAACGGTAGAGGTAGGTGGTAAGAAAAACGCCACACAGAACATGTCCTTGTCACCTTGAACACTGAGCAGGGTGAAGAGGTGAGAGCCTGGGGCCTGAGAGCTGTTTCAAGGTCACAGAAAGCCAGGCTGCACCTGGAGGGAAAGGTCCTTGTGGAACAGAGCTCAGGGCAGGGAACGGAGAATTAAGTGTGGAAAAGCCCCAACACCGTGCTCATGTGCCATTCTCAGCCATTCTCAGTAAGTGCTTTACACACTTAAAAGTGGGGAGTCAGGTCTCCTAGAAGACCCCAACACTTGGTATCAGCAGCACCTCTTTATCATAAAATTAACATCACTGAAAGCTTAAAAAAAAAAAAAAAGACAGACCAAAAATATCACGTCTTAGGCAAATGACTTGAAAATACCTCAGAGTGACACCCTATTTTTTTTTTCCCACCCATTTCTAAAGTCAGAGGACACCTGGTAAAGAAACTGATGTTTAGGTAAAAAATGCAATTCCTGGTACATGTGGTTTCCTGATGGTACAGAATTGAAATGACATCATGGAAATGCCTGTGCCTCAAGGTCAGTCTGCACAGTTTCTAGGTGAAAACATGAGTCTTAGTCATTGGCGGAAAAGTGTGTGTACGCCTCTGTGGTGCCACTGCTCTCTGCCTTCAAAGGCAACGTTTTAATCGAATTCATGTGGCTGCTTGCCAAGTTTTTCCACACTTTTGGCTCACCTAGATGTGCAACCTAGAATGTAGGTTATACCATTTGGAAATGCCTCTGTTCCTGTCATTTGGAAGGAAATAAAACAATTGTTACTGGGGAATAAAAAGAGTGTGTCTTCCACTCAAGGGCAAGGAATCAATGACCTAAGATGCTCATTCCAGTGGTTACTGTGAACAGTCTAATTTGTGTAGCATTCCCTATGGTGACAAAAGTAGGAGGTGGCAGACTGGGGACGTATGGAATCCTTTGTCTTAATTAAAAAGTATAATGGGAGACGTGGAATTTGGCCAAGCCTCATAAATCTGCTAAAAGAATCAAGACTCTGTCAGATAAGTTTAAATAGAACCAACTGAGCCCTCTGGAGAATTAAATAGACTCCCTGCTAGTAGTTGACACCCACTCTCCTGTCACTTTCCTGCACTCCACAGACGGCGGTTGTGCTCATTAACCAGCAACCCTCCTACTCACCGATGACAAGTTTATCCCCATGGAGCACAAAATTCAGAGATGATAAATCTACTCCCGCTTGTAAAAATGAAACTCTCCTTGGGGCAATAAAAGTGCTAGGAGCCTTTTGGAAATAAGTTCTTTATCTGATAACCTACCTTCATTAACAAAGCCCGGTCCTCTTGGTCAGGACAGCGCTTCACTGCCAGGGAGAACTGCTCTAAGGTCACTGGAAGGGAAGAGAAAGAAATGGTGAAGCACCTCCCTTCAGGCTCTGAGCACTTCTGATCTGGGGAAGAACACCATTGTTATAATTGGCACGCCGTCCATCCTGCCTTGGAGGGAGGATGGAAGAGTTCCCTGCCTGTCCCCTGTGTGGGTCAGGACCCACATGCACTTCTCCACCTGATCAGCTGGGCTCATCACAATGGACCACAAGGCCATTCCTATCAGCAAAGCTCCAACCTGCACTGCAGGAGGAGAACCTGGGTTTAGCCCCCATGTGGGCCATCTTGTCCTCCAAACACCACGCTGTATCCCTGTTTCCTGTGATATCCACCAAAAGGATTCCACATGCCCTTGTAAACTTGGCAGCACTCAATTTTCTATTCCACCTTGCATCAGGATTTCCATGGCCCTGACTCTTCTCTTGATGCAAACATGATATGACCCCACGTGTTGACTAAAGCAGACCCCACAGAATCCCCCAAATATGTCAAGTTTTCTTTCTCCAGCCAACCTTCTCCAATAGAATGGTGGTGAGAAACCCAAGAAGGTTTATTTAAAAAAAAAAAAAAAGTCTTAATCATCCATTTAAATTAGCTAGAAAAGCTCTAGGAACATTAATACAGACAATTTACACCAATTTCACTCCCCTTCTCTATCTCTGTGGCCCAACTCTCCCCAAAGGTCCACTTGTGTGAGCATCAACTTTGATTTTGTTCTAAATAAGCACCAAGCTGCAGACTGCCTTCCCTGTACCCTGTGGTGACTGTAGTTTCATTCTTGAAAATGCTTATGTGACTCCTTGCTGCCCTCACACTTAAATCCACTTATTTAAGGCATTAGACAGGAATTAAGGCTTTTACTAAGTTAGCTAATCTAGATTGCCTTTTATTGCTACATTTGAAGCCACTGACCACCCAGGGTTCCTTCAATCTCCAAAGACCCCCCCACGGGTAGGCAGAGCTGAACCCAGCCAGACTCAAGACTGAGGGGCTGTCTGATTCCACTGTTTCAAACCTAAGCATTTCTGGGTGTCATATACATAAATACAGATCTTTTAAAGATAATTCTATCGGCAGTAAATAATTTTCATCAAGAAAACATTGGGTAGTGTTTTTTGTATCATTTTCAATTGTATAATATACAATTCTTTACACTGTTTTCCCTCTGACTAAATGACTCTGCTGTCTTCTGTAGACTATGCTGATTTTTTCCTCCTGGTATAAATTTTTGCTCTTATCCAGTCAAAACATGCTCAGGCTCAAGAATGAGCAATGCTACTGCTTTACACCCTCTCTCTAATGCCTATGTCCATCAGGTCTTCAATGGGCTGAAGCCAATATTAATTACATAAAATCCTCAATATAACCTTAAAAAAAAAAAACAAAACTTCGTCCATAAACTTCAACCGAAACTTGTAGAATGAGATAAGAGCCTAAGCTATGCTGAGTTTCCACAAACACATTCGCCCTCACCCACTCAGAACATATCAGCCTGTGAGAGACTCTGGGGACAAGATCACTATCCTCCCCCAACCTTCTGTGGGCTCTGCAGTGGACTTTGCTGTGGCCTGATTTAGTGGGATAATATATTGAAATCTGACTATTGTCTGAGGATGAGTGAGGAATAATCTATAAGTTCAGGAGTTAGGTTCTCTTTAGGTTTTAAAGGTGGCTATTTTACTTAGGAAAGGTTTATGCAGTGGCTTAGAATCTTACTGAGTGCAGTTCATGGAAATCATTGCATTTGCACTTGCTTCCTGTTGGGGCTACTCGAGTCTCACCCTCAGTCCTCACCCTCTCTGTGGGGACCCCATGTTCATGCCTCTGATTGCCCTTGCACTGGGCTTCGCTGTGACACTTCTAATTGTTCACAAGACAGGACACCAGTTCAAGTTACAGTGAACTCTGTGCCTCCAATCAGCACTAGTTGACTTCCATAATGAGCCGGCCCTTTCCTGCCTTTGCCTGATCCTGCAGGCCTCTCCACCACTCACTAGGCTAGGGCCCTGAGCCCAAATCTTAGACTCTTTCCTGATGTCACCAAGCCTGCTGATGCTCGCTGCACAAGGTCTCAGATGCGCTCCTTTCCCCAGGCACCTGCCACTTTGATTGCTAGCTTTGATGCCCACTGCTGCCACCACACTGAACCTGGCTCTGCCAGAGCCCCCCAGCTCATGGCTGGTGTTTGCCCTCTTCCCTCAAGGCTTATCCCCTCTTCCCCCTCACCATTCATCCATGGCACAGTCCCTGGCCCAGGTGACCCCTCCCTGTTTCCCTCTGGTCAGCCCCAATCCCAGTCTTCTTTTGGATGCAGCAGGTGGAGCAAGTGGCCAGCACAGGCTCAGAGCCAGACGGACCTGGCTTTAAGTGTTCTCTTTTGGCACTACCAGGCACGTGACCTTGGACAAGTCACATGCCCTTGCTGAGTGTCTGTTTCCTCCTTGGTCCCATTCGGAGCCTAGGAGGAGTTGGTGTGGGGACTAACAGAGAGACTGCAGGTGAAGGAACTGTGGGTGGCAGGACCAAGATGACACTCTGTCCTGTGCTCCTCTCGTTAACTCTTCCCTGTGCCCATTTGATGTCTTGGGGTGACACATGACACACGGGGTTTTTCTTTTCTAATTAGTCTCTGGCTCTTACATCTATGTGACACCCTGGCCTCAGGAATGGCCTGAGGACCTGTGTCGTAGCCCAGACTCTGTTCTGTCCCCATCATATCCTGCATGCCCAAGGCCACGACCCCATTTTGTGGAACTGGCCTGAAGTCTGAAGCACACTTATAGGAACACAGGGCCACACAGATGGAGTTTTCCCTTAATAGCTGGCTAACAACCTATGCCCTTTCTACACAGATGACAAAAGTCAACCTTGAGGACAGAGGCTCAGCAGAAGCAGAATGCACCTCTGTCCTGGCTGTTTGTCCCCTACCTTAGGTGTCAGTGTGGCACAAGCTCTTATGCCGACAGTAGGTTCAGCTGTTACCCATTCCATGCTGGTTTCTACTAAATCCTCGAAGAGGCGAGGACAGGAATGAGGTCTCGGGGTAGCTCCTCTCCACCAGGCCTGGGCAGCCACTTTCCCTGCTACCTTACTCATTGACACCGTGTGGGGAGAAGCATCGTGACGAGTTGACATTTCGGGCCCCCTCCCTCCTCCCTCCCTGACTTTAAATAGGAAAAAAACTCAAAATGAAAGCATTTGTGGTATCCACCTTCCTCTGCCTCTGTTGCTGATTCAAGGGGCTGCCTGCCCAGTGAGAATAAGATGTGCAGCAAAACCAGTGCCAGCAACACAGCAGGTCTCCCCGGGGACAAGATTTTCCCTAAGGGACTTCAGAGGGAATCATTTTCTCACTTCAACATTGATTGTTTTAACTGCCCCGAAGTATTCCAGCATCGTTCATGTCAGCAGTGGAGGCCAAGGCCTGCACCTATCTGCATTAAGTTCTCCTTAGTTGGATGTGTCCACCTTTATGGGGCAAAGATAGAGAGAATGAGAGACTTCGGGATGACAGGTAGCTCTGAGGCTGGGAGGAAGGTGAGGGAGTAGCAGAGAAAGGAGACCTGATTCAAGTGCAAAGTGGTCATGTAGGAGAAAACACATGGAACAGCAAGAAACACACATCTCTCCTTTGGACTGTGTGCAGCAATGGCTAGCAGGTGGCTTATGCACAATGCCTCACCCTGCAGCCACTTCTGCAAGGTGGACAGCACCTTGCAAGATGGGAGACACCTAAAGCTCAAGTAAATGTTTGCACCTGGAAGACATTTCATTATGATGTGTTGTTGCAAGTAAGAGAGGGAAAACGAGACCATCACAATGCACACCAGCATTGTACTCATTTTCCTCTTTGAAATATCCCTGGGAAGATCAGGGACCTATCACTAAGTTAGCAGGTCCAAATTCTCCTGACATATGACCCACACTGTCTCAGAATGTCTCTCTCGATCCCTGTGTCATGTCACCGGGTAATAGGGCCCTGCTCAGGGAGCCAAGCTGTACGAAGCCCTGTGCTAGGAACCTTCCAGCCTAGCCCTCCTCAGGGGGCTACAGACAATGTCTACTTGGAGCCTGTACCCAATCTGGGCACTTCTCCAAGTACCCACTCTCCTGGACCTGATAACTTAAGCCTCTTCCAGGTGCTACTGATGGGGTAAGGAGGTTATACACAGGCATGTGCACCCCTAGACCCATGGTGTGGCCAGGGGGTAGCTGTTTGCAGGGCTGCAACCTTGGGTGTTTAGACCCGAGGATCCACATAGGGTGGATCAGAGTGCAGTGAAAGGGGGCAGGTAGAGGAGCTGCTTCTCCCCACACCGCAGAGTTTACACAGCTGCCAGAGCCTGAGAGTTCTAGATTCCAATCTGACCTTCTGGATGAATGACGCTGTCAAGGCAGGTGGAATAGATTTTCTTAAACACGTTGTCAGCCTGCTTGGTACTCCTGCCCTGAGCCCAACCCGGGAGGAGTAGGCTTCTGCTAGAGAGGGGAGACCTGATGCTGAGATACGAGAAGCACCCTGACCCCTTCTGGAGACAGTACCCCTGTCTCTGGAAAGAGAAGGTTGCCCCAACTGGGTCTGTAAGTCACCTCAGGTCCCTACAGTGAAGATGTCACTTAGGAGCTTGTCACCAAGCTCCTCACTTTGTCACCTCTGCCCCTGTCTACTCTGTAGCCCCTTCCCACCATGTACAGCCAGGTTCCACGTTTGGGATCCCATGCATACTTCAAGACCCACTATTGATGGGCCTTCTGGGAAGCATCTGGGCGCCTGTGACTGTGTAAATACCCTGTCCCTCTCACAGGCTTGTCCCTGTCCATGAGTGTGGGTCTATAGTCACCTCAAGTCCCTACAGTCCTTGAGTGGAACAGTGACTCTGGCACAGGCCATGCTCCATAATGTAGTCTTCTCTCAGGCAGCAAAATGTAGAGGGTGACATCTCTCCTGAAGGACAGCTCCACCTGGGGAGCCCAGCCCCTTCTCCAGGAGCAGCTGAGCCTT